AATAGGACTGGTTTGGGTAAACGAAATTTCATCGGTATAACCAGTTATCGGTATAAGAATATCGGTATAAAGAGGTTGACTGTATATCAAATTCTTCAAATATGAATCCAATAATTGGACTAAGGATTTTGACAATATAATCACGTTCTCGATGTTGCATGACAAGAATTTTAACCTCTCTTCGTAAACAGAGATGGCTAAATAGAATTCTAATTAGTATCTGCAAAAAGAAAATCTAATGATCTTCATTCAAATATTTAACCATATACTAATACTAACAAAAATTCGATAATTCCAACAGTTAATCGTGCATCCTCAGATTCTAAAGTTGGTCGAATTTATCTTTCCATAATATTAGATCATTTAACGACTTCTATAAAAATACAATAATAATCTATGAATATGTTGTGAGAAGCGGATAACTATAAACAAAAAATAGCTTACCATCCGGCCACATCCATTGCGTAGCAAATTTTGTACTTCTTTATCAATTTTATTCTTATAGAGTTTCTTGATTCGTTAAACAATTGAACATAATCTGATGTTTTGAGAATCCTATTCCAGTTGACTTTCGTCCAATTTGAAAGATCCACTATTCGGGATTCAATGGACCTGAAATTTTTTAGTGGTTAAGCAGAGAACATATATCATTTGTGAAAAAGTATATGATCACAATCACAATAACATACTGCACTCGCAAGTTTAATCATTCCATTACTGTTATCCATATTTCCTCAAGATTTAAGTTCGAAAGAAGTAAGTCAGATATCTGCAATAGTAATGAAAATTTTGTCAATTTCTTCGTCATCTGCTTCTTGGTCGTATACGTAAGCTTGTGCACTACTTGACGTTTGTATAGTTTCGGAAACAATTCGATTGTTATCCGGATTCGTGAGAGCATACTTGAGAAGAGAAGATATAAGTAAAACAAAATATAATTTGTGGGCATAATGACATCAACAAACCTCGGCTTCATCTGCTGTTGCTTCAACATTGACAAAACTTTCATGTTCCTTTTTTTCAGAGTCATGTTCGGTAGCTGATGTCGTGACCACATTGCTCACAGAAGATATCTCTGATTGAAAAGAGCTCAACTTTGCATCAATCATTTGCACCGCGACCTCTGATCCATATAGATCAGTTTTCGTGTCAAATAAATTTTCATTTGCCCGTAACTGATTAGTTTTTATATATATAAACCAAATAATACATACTAACAAATATTTTACCTTTTTGTCCATTTGGTCAAAAAATGCTGTAACTTCCTTGAATTGAAAAGATTATTAAAAGCTTTGTAGCTTTCTCTTGGGCTTTTTTGTTCATTGCGTTATGAGTACTTATTAAATGGAGCTGATGTTTAATTCAGCCATAATTTCTTCACGATGTTCAGACGTCACCCCCGCGCAATTTCTGCCAAAAATTCAAGACATGTATGGACAGTCCACTTTGTAAAGCTTGTTTCTCTTAAGTATTGGGTAATCCCGCTTGAAATGTGCATGCTAACCAATATTATTAGTATCAAAAGTTAATAATCTTTAATCGTAAACATATGGTTGGGTTTGGCATTGACCAATGGGTTCTGGAAAGAGGTTGCCAAACTTAGATGTTAGGCCAATCCTAACACGGGCCTAGCACTCGCTTTCCAAACATCGGACGAAGGAGGTCCACATAAACGGGATAAGTCCAACGCGTCGTAGGATACCCATTAAGTCCAATAGACTGAAAAAGGGCTATCAAGCTTAGCTGTTAAGCCAATCTTAACAGGGGCCTAGTAACCCCTTTCCAAGCATCGATCGAAAGAGGTCCACAATAAGTGGAACAGTTCCAACGCATCGTAGGATATTGCGGATGCCAGATATATTCAAACAAAAAGTACTGTATATATACTAATACTTTCCTGCTATAGCGTACTCAGATATTTTCGAAAATAAACAAGGTTTTTGCTGTTGATGCCAGTGAGTAGTGATTGAGGACTGAGCACATGATTATTAAAAAATTTTTTGAACTCACGTTAATCTACCTACACGTACTTTACTTTTCAAATAAGTTATAATTAAATCTCGTGAATTACATATATCTGTTTATTATATATTTTCTATTACAGATAATTACTGATAAACTGCCACATAATTTTCTTTCTCGTCATAAATACGTTATTTTTACTCATATTTTTTATTACTGGTGAACTGCAGACATTTTATTAACAAATCGCTACGTCAAAGTTTTATTGAAAACCCCGATTAATATATATTGCAATTGTACAGTAGTATATATAAAGTCTCCAACTAACAAACATTCTTACTTGACTATTTAATAATTAAAGGAATTAATCAAAATGTCTTACGCTATCGAGTCTTTTCCCTCGATGCAGACAAAACGGTATGATAATCCATGGCCTACGCATATCGATACAAACAATACTGTGTCTGCTCCCTTTCACAAACCATCCACTAGTAACAACAATGAACTCACAGAAAATAACAATTATTCGTATTGGCGTCCTTGCATTGCGACTATGTAGAATTCTAAATCATCTTACTAATGACGACTCTGTGCAATTCCCGCGTATTTCATGTTCTTACTGCTCGCGCTTGATATACCCTCATTCGACAAAATGGATAATTAGAGATGAAAACTATTAGATACCCTTTCAAATTGTCTTTTCCTGAAACATCACTTACTTCACACCCAAAAAATTGCTGTATGCAAGTCTCATCCCGATGGTCGCCTAAGTCGTAAGCTTGCTCCAATACCAACATGTATCAAAGACGTTCCATACGCGAAAGGAAAATATCTGTTATCTTCACACCAGTTTGGGTCGATCTGCAGGAGCTAATCCATTTGTCGAATACCGAACTATAACAGGACGAATGGATTATTCAAAGAATTGACTCTATATTCGGGCATGCTAGGTACTTTCTTACAAGCAGATTTGTCCGCTCCCGATAACCGCTGGTATCATCCATCATTACGATATGCGTGTGAATGGTTACAACGCAATATCCCTTACTTAGTTGCTTATCATTCTTTAGCTTTACGTTTACTTGAGCAAAGTGGACGACGATTCCGCTCTTACTGTACACAAATCCGACATACACTCACTACCAAAAAGTATTGGCCGAAATTTGTCGATCAATAGTAAAACATATGAAAAATCCAATTTTTCA